CGCAGTTTTAAGTTCCTGCCAACTTACTGGTGGCATTCTCGTAATAAGTATTGAGGGGTGTGGTCAGTAGCTTAAGTGCGAGGGTACGTTCGTCTTTCACCGAAAAGCAATGGGTAATTGATGGGTTTCGGGCACATTGATTGATGCAGTAAATAAGGCTCGTGTCCCAGAGCTCTTCATCTATCGTACGCAGATGGTGAACATATGGTAAGAAAAAATTCAAAAAATTCAAAAAATTCAAAAAAATAAAAATAAAAAAAAAATAAAATAATGGTTGTGTACTATGAAGATCCTCTCATAATATATATGTATTTTCCTCGCAGATCTACTGTTGATACGTTGAAGAGCGTTTAGATCTGAGGTCTTTCATCGCATTGGGTTAATCGAATGTATATCGACAATGGTTAATTCTCCCAAATTGGAGAGATCAGGTAATATTAGTGCTCATTGTAATTTAAAATGTGATATGGCGACTGTGCCCAGTAATTTAGTTTCCAGTTTTGTTGGATTCATCTTGAATTCTTGGTTTTTGGTGGCCTTCTCGTGTTTCTATACGTCTGTAATTACGATTATGTCTTGCATGTTTGCTTCGATTTTGTTGTATTTTATTTATCTAAATGGTTATGCAGAAATTACTTACAAATTTTCAGACGACTCTGATTACATCAGTTGTATGCTTAAAATATTGATAGATTTGTTGTCCTAAACCGTAGTGACCCGAGTTATAATAAATTGTTTTTTACGTTATGTAGATTAAACTTCAGTTGTAATTAAACATAAATCATAACCCTATTATATTTTGCAAAAATTGAGGACAATTGTTCTGGTACATTTTTCGAGGGTTGATATGTATACATATGATCTTTCGTGGTCTTGTTATTATGTGTATATTAATGTTACTATAGTATCCCATTATAGTAAACCCCAACTCGTTCTTATACTGTCAAATCTAACATGTTATTTTTGTATGCTTTGATCTTCCCAATGAAGGTAAACGTGCTGTGGATGCCAGCATACCGAATATACCGCTTATTGCTTGGAAAGGTACGTGTCATTATGTTATGGTGTTACGACAATACGTTTTGTGATATTTAGTTTGTATGTAACGCGTGTTTGTGCTTCTAATGATTAATACTGTTTGCTAGTAACACGGCGTCATTCAAGCTCCCCTTTAGTGCAAGAGATTAATACAAACGTTACGGCTGATGGCGTCCAAGAAGAAACCGAACCAGATTGTGTCCGTGCGAAGCGTCCAAAAGTGTGTGCACATACATCAAGCCAGCCTGACAGTGACGAATTTGTGGACGATGGTCCTCGTCAGCGTGTGGCGAAAAATACACATACGTGTGATGGTATATACAAACATGTGCTGTTGTTTCTTTCAATCAATCCTTTCCATGCTCAAATACGTGTAAATAAAACTTAAACAAATAATATTATAAGATGATATGAGTGCAATAATTTAAGTTGCATTCTGTGTTTATAGGACTGCGATTATAACATCATTTAAGATTGTTTGGAGGATTTCTAAGTATCATATGCGCTAAGTGTAACATAACGACCTGTTTTATGAATAAACCATATGATTTTTATTTTTCTATTACTATTTTTTCAGTTAAGGGCAAGAAAGTAATGTCTGATAGCATTAAAACTGGTGGCAACATCGTGGATGATGTTGTTCTCGGAAATGGTGCAGACAGCGAGGACGACGATCTATTCCCGAGTCTGATTACGAGATCGTCACATGCTATATTCGTCAAGGCAGTTCCTGGCTTGTCAGATGCTTAGAGGTGCGTTGTTCGTGATATGGGACTCGAATATTTGTTAGGCTGGAATATAACAGCCACATCACTGAAGATGGGTTTCTGGTTAGTGAACAACTTCAATCACATGGATCGAAAGTTGCACTTATATGATGGTGAAAAGGTGCACGTGAAGGAAGAAGATGTTCATGCAGCACTAGGCTTGCCCCGTGGAGAGATTGACATTAGAATCAAGAAGAAGAGAGCTACATCGAACCTTCTTGATGAGTGGGTTAGTTTGTTCAACGTTAGAATCTTACCGAATATTTCGGCGTCAAAGGTGCTGGATAAGATTCGCGAGTGTAAAGATGGTGGTGACTGGTTCAAGCGTCATTTTATCGTGCTTATGGTTACTTGTCTGTTCGAGAGCTCTTTAAAAGGGATGGCAAACTTTTGTTTAGTTCATATGCTCGACGACCTAACCAAAGTACGCAAGAGGAACTGGTGTTCGTACATGATCCGATGCCTTGTGGACACTAAGAGATCGTGGAATGCTTGCGGTAAAAAAAAGAAGTATATCGGTCCATTGTTGTTTATGACGGTCAGTATTTCTTAAATCTTCCATTAATATTATTATATTAGATCTTCCATTAATATTATTATTATTATTATATATATATTCTATTATTATCCTTTGGCTCATCTGATTCTTTACGTAGTTATTTTTTACTGTTTGATGCAACTATTCTATGTGGATAATGTTGTTCTGTCGTTGAGATCTGTTGGACGGTCATTTCCCATATTTGTGTCATGGACCACTGAGTCGTTAAGAGCTAGGGAACGGGACGAGATTGCTTTTGGAGCTTTTGGGAGGGGATTTGTTGATGCAAACACACACGTGGTCATTGACCGTCACAATTCTGACAGAGATGATGCCACAGCCAACGATAAAAAAATCACCAGCACAATGGAAACCAGTGTGCATGTATGGGATATTACTGTGTTAATGTATTGTTTGTTATTTGATCAGTTCCTGGTTGTTTGTTTATAAAATATATGTTACCTTTTTATTCTTACTATTATTATTATTACTATTATTATTACTATTATTATTATTACTATTTTATATCATTATTATTATATGTATTTTTTATATTTCCCTTGTTTTTGTTGTAGTTTTTTTCTTGGGTTTTTGTTGCTGATACGTATTGTGCTTCGTTCGATGTAAAATTGTGCACCGATTTGAATTAAAATGTGCGTGATTGATTAGTGTCGCTATATGGTGTGTTATATATCACCTGGTGGTTTTAATTTCACGTTTATACGTGCAGTGATTTGTTGTTTTTGTTCTATTAACAGGCTTATGTTCAAGAATTTGCATCTAAGACACAGCTTTTTGCTACAATCGGAGATGAAATTTTGCAGCTGGTTAAGAAGGCACCACAAGTTCTAGTCAGAGACGAGAACTTTATGAAAATACAAGGCGCGGCTCAAAAGCTTTTTGGTGTGTATACCGAATCGCCTAAAGCAAATCCCGACCTTCACGATCCAAGTAAACAGAATCATACGGTCCCTGCGAGTGATATGGCTAAGGACAATGCAACGGGTGATGCATATCAGGTGGTAGATGATGCATTCTGGAATGATCCTGAAATATTAGCGTCGATAGATTTGATTTTGAAGGCGGCTGAGCGACGCGATCATTTGAAGAGGATGCAGCTTGATGTGCCCAGTTTTAGTTTAGGTATCTCGTTAAATGAAGATGATGAAGGTGACGCCCGTCATCAACAGGTCCCCGTGTGAATTTGTTATGTATTGGGAGAATTGATGAATAAAACGGTTATTGGCAGAATTATTCCCTCTTTCTCTCTCTTACCTCATCCTAGCTCTTCCTTCTCAATCTATCCTTCCCCCATTTATTCCTCCTCAAGCTCAAAATTACAGTAACAAATTAATCACAAAATTACTAAATTATCAAATACATAACACAATCTGACAAATACGTGAAAGTAATTCATTCACTCAAAAGACTTGTCCCCATAGATTTACCAGAGCCCCTTAATATATAGATACAAAAGAAGCTCTAAAATAATATACCTCAAATCTCTAAGATACCAAAATCTATATATACCAAAAATACAATATTCACAAAATCACTCTAACACCTCCCCTCAAGTTGGAGCATGCGGATTGCGGATGCCCAACTTGCCAAGAAAAAAAAACCAAACTCGTGTTTTCCCAAGGCCTTGGTGAAGATGTCCGCCAATTGAGAATGAGTGGAAACATGAGCGGTAGAAATGAGACCTTGAACAAGAGCATCACGAAGAAAATGGCAGTCAACTTCAATGTGCTTGGTGCGCTCATGAAAGACAGGATTAGCGGCAATGTGTAGCGCCGCTTGACTGTCACAATGAATCCGCATCGGCTGAGAATGAGCCACACCAAGACTGCGAAGTAAACCTCGTAACCATTTCAACTTGCAAGTAAGCGTCGCCATAGCACGATACTCAGCCTCAGCAGAAGAGCGAGCAACAGTGTGCTGCTTTTTAGTACGCCATGATATTGGAGAATGACCAAGTTGGACGAACCAACAGTGAGAGACCGTCGATTAGTTAGGCATGTTTCCCAATCAAAGTCACACCAACCATAGACCTGTAAGTCACAATCAGACCGAAGAAGAATACCCTGGCCCGGAGTACCCTTCAAATAACTTACCACACGAGTTGCAGCATCCTAGTGTGTCTGACGAGGCTGATGCATAAACTGAGAGAGGATGTGCACATCATAAGACAAGTCGGGACGAGTGACATCTAAATAAATCAAAAGGCCCACTAGCCGCCGAAAACCATAGGTTTAAGAGTAGTAGTAAGCTTTGCAAACCAACAATGAAGAGCTTGCTTTAAACCATACAGAGATCGGCGTAATCGACATACCTTACCAGGATCAGGTGAATGAAAACCAGGAGGAAGTTTCATGTAGACCTCCTCAGATAGATCTCCATACAAGAACGCATTGTGCACGTCCATCTGATAAACGTCCCAATGTCTAGCAACTGCAACTGCAAGAAAAGTTCGTACAGTAACCATTTTGGTGACATGTGTAAATGTCTCCTGTTAATCAATACCCTCCACCTTCCGGTTACCCAAGACAACTAAACGCGCCTTGTAGTGCTCAACAGAACCATCAGAGTTATATTTAATCTTATATATTCACTTGCAACCAATCACGTGTTTCCAGTAGGAAGAGAAACAATATCCCACGTACGGTTCGATTCTAATGCTTGAATCTCCAGTTTCATAGCCAAACACCAGCGACTATCTCGAACAGCCTCAAAAAAGGTCCGTGGCTCAACGGCAGAAGAAATGGCTGCCAGAAATGACTGATGTGCAGGTGAAAAGGAATCACAAGAAACATAGTGTGCGAGTGGGTAAGGAGTACCAAATGATGACACGATGGAGGAGGTAGAGTGGGGCGACGAGGAACAAATAGTGTGAGAGACAAAGTCGGGAAGACGGGAAAAGGGCCTCTTGAGACGATGACCACGACCCAACACTTCTTCTTGGGGAGGATTACCCCCTATTGACAATGACTTCAGAACCCCCAGTGTCAACGGTACGTGTTGTAGTGGGAACCACCACATCATCATCATCGTCAGAAACAACAGACCATGGAACCATAGGTACGGAGGCAGTATCAAGAGCAGGAGACGTTGAGTAAGGGAACTCCGATTCACAAAATTTCACATCACGTGAGACCAGAAAAGTGTGGTTGTCCAAATCATAAACACACCACCCCTTTTGACCAGATGGATAGCCAACAAAATCACATCGACGACTCCGACTGGCAAACTTGTCACCGTCCCTGTTCTGATTGTGCACGTAACACAGACAGCCAAAAACACGTAAATGCGCATAGTTGGGAGGTTCGCCATACAAAAGTTCATAGGGAGTCTTGCCGGATAAAAGAGGAGTAGGCATTCGATTAATCAAACAGCTAGTAGCCAGTACACAATGTCCCCAGAACTCGATCGGTAAATGAGCCTGAAATTGTAATGCTCAAGCAACATTAAGAATGTGCTTATGTTTGCGCTCAGCATGTCCATTTTGTTGAGGAGTTTCAACACAAGAAGTTTCATGAACAATCCCCTGTTGACGGAAATAATTGCACATACGAGTAAATTCAGTCACGTTGTCATTGCGAATAGTTTTAACCAACACACCAAATTGCCTTTTTACAAAAGCAAAGAATTGCAGGAGAGAAGAAGACACCGAAGATTTGTCATCCAATAAGAAAATCCAAGTACCTCGAGGATAGTCGTCAACAATAGTAAAAAAATATCGAGCACCACTAAAGGCAAGAACTCTATAAGGTCCCCACACATCACAATGAATCAAATTGAAAAGAGAACTGCTAAGACTACAACTGAGAGGAAAGCTAGCACGAGATTGGTTCGCCCGACAGTGAATATCACAAGCTTTATTCGAGACCAAAGAACGAGACTCGGCAAAAGGCAATTGACCAAGAACAGTAGATGATGGATGACCCATCCGCTGGTGCCACAAGTGTTGCATAACTGAAGACACCCGAAAAGCATTGGCAGTGATTGCCCCTCGGAAAAAATAGAGTCCCCCAATTTGCTCACTCGCTCCAATCACCGTCCTCGAAGTGAGGTCCTGAATAGCACAATATTTATTTGTGAAGGTAGCAACACAACCAGATTGTTCCAATAACCGAGATAAATGTATCAAGTTGCAATGAAGGTGTCAACGAACAAAACATCATATAAAACAATACGATAACCGAGATGAACAGTTCCAAATTTGCACGCAGTGGTGAGCGTGCCATTAGGTAATTGCACAGACCGGGGCGGAATATCCCGGATATCAGAAAAAAAATTCTAAGTAACCCGTCATATGATATGAAGCACCGCTATCATACATCCACTCATAAAGACTACGCTTACCAGACCAAAGAGCATTGTTGGGGACGGAAGAGACGAGGTGGACAATTGACTCCCATTGGATATTGGTTAACCCAGAAATAGCCGCCCGACCGGTATCCGTCAATGAGGATGTTGGTCTGCCATGTATGGAGCCAGAGGTACTAAGTGCAACCTCGTTTCCGAAAGCGACATTGACAAGGCCGACAGCGGCTAGTTCGTCACTACGTCCGCCACGACCACGTCCTCCGGCGTGAGCAGCGGTTTCCACATCACCCAGTTTCCCTATAGTTCACGGCTTCACGCTATGATTTTTTTTTTTTTTTT